CCATTTTACTTGGTTTTTTTAGACTATAATGGATCTCAATTATGGGTGAATCAATGACTATTTTTGGAGCGTTTTCTTTGTTGTCTAATCAATACCGAGGTTAGGTAAACAAATGCTTGAGTCTGTCAAAAATCTATTGATAAAACGAATAGTAAAGCCGCATAGGCTTGATACCTCATTTTACTCAGTTTTTCAGCTTATGGTGGATCTCGATTATCGGTGAATCGAGGACTAGTATTGGAGCATTTTCTTTTATGTCTAATAAATATTGAGGTTAGGTAAATAGCATGCTCAAGCTTGTCAAAAATCTATTGATAAAACAAATAGAAAAGTTGCATAGGCCTAATACCCCATTTTACTCAGTTTATCAGCCTGTAATAGATCTCAATTATAAGTGAATTGAGGACTATTTTTGGAGTATTTTCTTCTCCATCTAATCAATACTGAGGTTAGGTAAATAGCATGCTTGAGCCTATCAAAAATCTGTTGATAAAACAAGCAAAAAGTCACATAGGCCGGATGCCCCGTTTTACTCAATTTTTCAACCTGTAGTGGATCTTGATTATGGGTGAATCGTAGACTATTTTTGGAGCTTTTTCATTATCATATAATCAATATTGAGGCTAGGTAAATATCATACTCGAGCCTTTTGAAAACCTGTTGATAAAATGAGCAAAAAGCCGTATTGGCCTGAAACCCCGTTTTACTCAGTTTTTTGGCCTATAATGAATCTCGATTATGGGTGAATCGAGGTCCATTTTTGGAGTATTCTCTTTATCGTCTAATCAATACTGAGGTTAGGTAAATAGCATGCTCGAGCTTGTTGAAAATTTGTTGATAAAATAAGTGAAATGTAGTATGGGCCTTGTGCCTTGTTTTACTTAGTTTTTTAGCATATAATGGATCTTAATTATGGGTGAATCAAGGATTATTTTTTGAGTGTTTTCTTTACCATCCAATCAGTAAATAGCATTCTCGAGCCTGCTAGAAATCTGTGGAAAAAATGAGCAAAAAGTCGCAAAGGCCTAACATGCTGTTTTTCTCAGTTTTTTAGCCTGTTATTTTCTAAAAATAAGGATTACCAAAATGTGAATGCATATACTGATGCTGATTAGGCTAGAGCTGTGGATAACATATGATCTACTTCTAGTTATTTCACCTTTGTAGGTGGCAATCTAGTGACATGAAGAAGCAAAAAACATAATGGTGTGGCATGCTTAAGCACTAAAGGAGAATCTAGGGGAATGGCACTTGGGATCTGTGAAGTTTTGTGACTAAGATTTCTCTTGCAAGATTTGGGCTATCAACCAATCCAGTTGTATTGTGACAATAAAGCAACATGTGATATTGCTCACAATCTAGTTCAACATGATCGTACCAAACATGTTGAAGTAGATAGACTTTTCATCAAGGAAAAACTGGATGAAAAGATTATTTAATTGCCCAAGATTCGATCAGAGGATCAATTGGTAGACATTCTTACCAAAGCTATCTCTAAATGTATATTCTCACAAGTCTTAGACAAGTTGGGCAAGTTTGACATCTATGATCCAACTTGAGGGGGAGTGTTGAGATACACTAAATATTTAGTAATCTCCTATTTTTGTCAGTCTTAGATACTCCTGATATTGTATAGTCTTCTAATTATGTCAGTATATTGTGTAATCTATAACTGACATAATTAGGCGATTTAGTGGATCGTTCTCTCCCTGTATAATGTCTGTTGTAGTTGATATCAATGAATTGAAACATACAATTCTTCAATTAAACACATTGTAATTGAAACTCCATTAAACACCTTTCACAAACAACAATACTTAAAAATTGCCATGGATTTGCATATATTGTTACAACAAAAAGAATTGTCTATGTAAGTTATTTTGTCAACTTATGAATCTAGTGTGGTGACACTAGTCATAGTATGAACACCTTACTTTGTCTTTAGCACAATCATTCTGTTTAAATTTCCAATGTGTTGACCTTCTGTCAAAGTGACCACCTTCAATTAAGTTATTCTTCTGTTATATCTTGTGAGCATCTTAGAGTCAGAGTGGTCACAATGCATCTGGTAGATTTTTTTGTTAAAATACGTTTTGTATTTCAATATTCTCATGAGCTGTCATTATTCTCTTTATGAGTTATTGTTGTGGTCCATAACACTTATCAAATTGTCACACAATGAGCTAGAAAGTTTATTCTCTTTGATTGGTGGTCCCAAGAGAAATGGAATAAACTTTTCATAAAGTTTTCTTGTTAGCCACCTGTCCCTTTGCAGTGGCTGAATTTTCTTTATATAAACTCTTCTCCAATGCTATTGGTTTTTAAGCCTGATTATTTCCTAGAAAGTACTTTGAATATTTCTAAAGTTTTCTTTTGTTTTTATCAGTTTTTTATGCTTAGTTAAGCTTACAAATACAATTCAACAAAGTTCCTTGAAAATGTCCTTCTCTATACATTTGGTTATGTAGATGAGATTTGAAGCTTGTTGAGCTTGTTCAACCGAAGTGGATCTTCATTGTTGTACCTTGAGAGGAGCTCAACATTGACCAGGTATTTTGGGTTCATGGAGCTAGCTACAGTAGTACTTAGTTTGACCAAAGGGTAGAGATTGAAGCATTACAAAACAGGGGAGTGTTCTTGCAATTGAGTCTTAGGCTCCGTTTGGTTCACTTTTTTATATTTTTTAGAAAAGTTTTTTTGAAAAAAGTTGAATTGGGCGGGTATTACGATGTAGGATTTGAAAATTAATAAAAATACCTCCTATGTTTGTTTATTTACTAAACACTCCTATAATAAAATATTAAAAGTTAACAAAAACACCCCCAACCCACCCATTAAATAAGGACAACCGGCAACCACTACCTGAGGGTGGCCGGAGTCACCGTATCGGAGCATGACTGACTGGATCTTGCCGGTCGTGGGTCGATATGGCCTTTCCCAACGACGGCCAAAGATACGGCCGTCGTTGATGGTCAACGACGACCCTATCTTGGCCGTTGTTGACGACTGTCAACAGCCAAAGATCTGGCCATTGACGGTCAGATCTTTGGCCGGAAAAGGCTAGATTAGCACACTATCAGCTCTGGCTAGATTCAATCGGTAGTGCGCCATTACCTCAAATTCCGGCTAGCTTCTGACAGTGGTGGTCGGAATCTGGTAAATTTGGGTTGCTGGGGTGTTTTTGTCAATTTCTAAAATTTTTTTGGGGATTGTTTAATTAAAGGAAATTAAAAAATTTAAAATTATATTTTGGAAAATAGGTGAAACAAACTTAATTTTTTTGGGAAAACTAAAAAAGTTTTCCCAATATGTGAAGCAAACGAAGCCTTAATCTTTAACTTTGTAATTAAATTGAAAAGTATGCTATAGTGGATTAGCTTCATTCTAGGTCCCATGAATGTATGCATTTTGCCAAACCACGTAAAAATCTGATATTATTTATTTTGGTTCATATTTGATTGCTTTACGTTTATGATAAATGGACACTCAATCAACTTAGGAACCCATTCCGCTTAGGTGTAATCAACTTGGTAAGTGACTAAAACTTTTAGTATAATAGTAAGAGAATGGAGCATATAGAAGCAAGATAGGAGGGGTGAGATTATCTCCAGTTGAGAATGTGAAAATCGAAGGGAGAAGAAGTTGCTGCCTGGGTGTAATCGAAGAAGTAAGAAAGAAAGGTTTATTTACGGCTACTGTTACCGTTGTAGTAAATTTTTTGATTAGAAATTTATTATTCGAATCTTCTTGAGAGGGATGTTCAATCTCAGAGTGGGTCATGTAATAGCTCTTTCCAATTATTGTATTTTGTCAATCAAGCACTGATTCACAGGTGGGTAGGTGAGGAAAATTAACTGGGAGGGAGCTGAGGTTTCAATTTGCTCCCCACTCCTTATCTCTATCTTGTTTACAAACTCAATTTGTACTACTGATTCGTTTTCAAGAATAAAGTTTTAGGTTCATCTTTGACATTGGTGTCACCCTTCAATCTGCAGCATAAATGAGTTTCAAATGTCTTTGTGTGTATCTTGTTCCTTGTTCATAGGTGATTTAGTCGGTGTTTAGTCTGTCAGTTCTATCTCAATATTTATTACAGTATTAGCAAATTGAAACCAACAAAACCCATTACATCCATTCAATCCAAACACCACTTTTATCCCCCTCCAAGACCCTTTTGTACACCAAAACCATCAGCAATAAAAGAATCAGAAGAACTACTGTTACCGTTGTGGTAAATTTTTTTTATTAGAAATTTATTATTCAAATCTCCTTGAGAGGGGTGTTCAATCTCATAGTGGTTCATGTAATCTCTCTTTCCAATTATTGTGTTCTGTCAATCAAGCACTGACATATGAATAATGGTAACGCCACCTAGCTAATACATAATCGACAACTTGAAATGGGGAATATTGTTCACATGCATAAAGACAGTTATACAGGACAGATTTACGTCATATGAATGATTGAATCCATATATGTAAAATTTCTAGTTCGCCGTTTAGAACAATAGCAACATAAAAAAGCCCAGAATCAAAAGACAATGCATGGATCCGCAAAGATTACTAGAATTTTATAGTCTATGCATCTCATTATACGCTTAAAGATATTAGAGTATGCGTGTATTTAGAAATTGAATATTATTTTTAGTAATTTAAATTAAGGTTAAATTTGTTAAAACAAAAAATGAATTTGAAAGTGGGAGGTAAAAATGAATTAGGTGGGGGCTAAAAACAGTTCCATTGATTTTTTTACAAGTTTTTAGGAAAAAAAGAAAAGATTCTAAGGAATTATCAGAAAGGCATTTTGATCTGTATATAGAAAGCAGTGCACTGCGGGACCTGCTGCATCTGAAAAAAGAAAAGATTCTAAAGAATTATAAGAAAGGCATTTTGATCTGTATATAGAAAGCAGTGCACTGCGGGACCTGCTGCATCTGAAAATTATAAAAGTTAAATGAGTGGTCACTCTCTATGAAATTTGAATAGATGCTTACCATATGCTTTAGGAGTTAGCAGAGACTTGTGACTCCTCTGAATGTCGTAAAGGCCAAAATAAAGAGGGAAGAAGAAATCCTATCTGTTACTCTTCTTGTTCCCTTTTCTCTTTTATGCTCTTACAAGAAAAGATAATATGGGGAGAGAAAACCTGGAAGGACTGCTGCCAAGCTCTTCAATTCTTGAACCTGCTCATATTGTTAGTAGCATTGGCAATGGCGATGACACAACTGATCAAACTGATTCTTCCGCTACACCTGTCGTTTTTTTCAGCACTTTCATTACCATGTGCAGTTACTTTGCCTTTGGCTGTGCAGTAAGTAACATAATTTAAGTTAGAGACTCTCAACTGGGTGTCAGAATCCAGTAGACACTTCATTAGCAAGTATATAACTGTTTATACGACTGCTTTTTAGACAGGATATTCGTCGCCTGCTGAATCTGGAATCATGAAGGATCTCGGCCTCTCAGTAGCAGCAGTAAGCATATATTAATTTTTTGGTTACACCTTTTTTTTTACTAGCTATCCAACTCAAGTACCCTGTTTGTGACATGTTGAATTCTTCTCATTGTGCAGTATTCTGTTTTTGTTTCTGTATTAGCGATTGGAGCACTTCTAGGTTCATTAATAAATGGGGAAATAACTGACCTCATTGGTCGGAGAGGAGTAAGTTTCTCTGTTACATTTTTAGATATCACTATAAGCCTCACTAACTTTTCCAATAATTTAGTGATCCTGTCAAGCAGGGAATGTGGCTGGCAGATTTTTTCTTCATCTTTGGCTGGCTAACTATAGCATTCTCCCAGGTGCATTTCTGTTTGATATAATTTCCTCTCCGCAATTGTACTTAAATTAATAAGCAGCTGTCGGTTGCGAGGCCTTAAATCTTAGATTCTTAATCAATGTACTGCTATATATCAGTTAATTTTCTTTCCTTGACGAGGTTGATAATTAAAATGCTTGTTGACAGGCGGCTTGGTCACTGGATCTGGGAAGAGTGTCTCTGGGATTTGGAATTGCAATCATTTCTTATGCGGTATTATATAAAATTTTCATTGTATAGTAGTCAATTTATATGGTTGATGCATAACAGCACTTGCATTCTTGTTACAAGGCAGGGGCCTAGATATATTGCGGAAATTTCACCAAACAATATTCGAGGAGCCTTAACATCGGCTAATCAGGTAAAATTAATTCAACTATTGCAGAATGTGTTCCATAAGTCCAACTCATTGTACTTCTTAATAAATATTCTGTGATGCCTACAGTTGATGCTTACTTGTGGCTTCTCCCTAACATATGTTCTTGGAACTCTTGTGTCCTGGCGCATCTTGGCTCTAATTGGTAACATATTCTTTTACTTACTTGTAGCTTATAGTATTTCCTATTTAGAATAATGTGTGTTCTATACTGTCAAAATTTCAGCTGTTTTTCCATGCTTTGTGCAATTTTTTGGTATATTCTTCATTCCTGAATCCCCTAGATGGCTGGTGAGTCCTATTCCTGATTTTTTTCAAACCAAGCATAAAGTGCTTTTTTAATCAATAAAATATCCTGCAGGCATTTGTTGGTCGAGGGAAAGAATTATACACCACTCTGCAGCGGCTTAGGAGTAAGAAATCTGATAATTCTCAAGAGGCCGCTAACATAAAAGTGAAGTTTCCACATTTGTATCTTGAAATTCAACTAAATTTTCTCATTCTGAAGTTTAATATATTTTATGTGTATAAATTATGGTTCAGATATATATGTGTTTTCTATTGTCTGAGCAGGCTTATACAGAGGTCTTTGTGAGGCAATCAGAGGATAGATCTTTTAGCCTTTTCCAGCATAAATATGCCTATTCAGTCACCGTGCGTATAAAAAACAGAAAATGAACTTATACGTGGTAAATTGATAAAAATTAATAAATTTAATTACTATTTAAATATTATACTCAATCAATTATAACATTACATTATAGTTAAATGATTAGTTAATTAATTATAATTTTACAACATTACTTAATTATACTTTGGCCGTCGCTAACGGCTAAATCTGAACTTATACATAATAAGGCGTGAGGGATATATACTTAATCTAATACATGGGATAACCTCGAGATTTGAGGCCCTTGTTACATATTTGTGATAACCTGAAAGTTGTTCACAACCGGCTGAGGCCGAGCACGGTCCATAACAAGTAAAAATTCAAAAAACAGATTTAAAAAGAAGTAAATAGTAACTGCTTCAACTACCTTTTCACTCCTCTTACTCGATGAATCAGATGTACTTGCTCTACATAAAGACTGGTCATTCTGGCATTATGAAGTAGTTTTATTATATGTTTGGTCTGACGGGGCTTCTTCCGAAGATTCTTTTAGCTTGACAGCTACGAAAATTTGATGTCAGGTGGGGATCAAACGGAAAGCAAAGGGAAAGCCAAAGGTGAGATACTTTATAATCGCGACGAGTATGACTTAATAAAGATGGGAAAGCAACAGGTAAATTTATAATGCACTCTCGACATCTCTTTTTTCAAACTCTCCAGATCTCTTATCTTAAACTCTCTTTCTTTTAAACTCTTTGCCTTTCTTGTTTCAAACTCTATAATGGCTGGAGTAACACTAACTCAGGAAAAAATCATCAACTTTACATTTATATTGTTACTTAGAAGAAATAGGCAGTATATCGACAATCGTATCGATCCTACAACAGTAAAGATAAGAATGCAGAGCCGGATGATAATCTTGACTCTTCAAACATTATTAGGCTGGCGGTTCCTCACCCTTGCGGATTTGGAAATTTTTGAGGTATTTAGTCAAGTAATTTGTTTTCATTTGTTTTGGAACCTGTTTTGGAACCTTTTTGGAACCTGTTTGGAATTTTTTTGGAGCTTATTTGGAACCTGTTTTGGAACTAGGACTACAATGAAATATTTGTGAAATCTGAATAATGAAGGGTTTCTATTATTTTACATATAAAAAAATTTAAAATAGAAAAAGTTAAACTTTTAGAAAAACCTAATTAAATAAATATACGAATACAATTATACTTATTACATATAAATTACACCATATTAAAAGCTTTAATATATTTATAATACATTAATATTAAAGTTTTGCTTAATTAAGTGAATAATTGGAATTATGATCCAATTAAAAGTGTTTTACATTTTTAATGTTATTAAAATAATTATTTTTGAATAAAATAGTATATTTGATTGAGTAATAATATTTAGTTATTTACTTTAATTATCAAGTTCTAAGTATATCTATAATAAATTAGTAATTAATTAATTATATATGATAAATTGATAAACATTAATAAATTTAATTACTAGTTAAATATCATACTTAGTCAATTTTAACATTACATTATAGTTAAATGATTACTTAATTAATTATAATTTTATAACGTTACTTAATTATACTTTGACCGTTGCTAACGGCTAGATCTGGACTTATACATAATAAGGCGTGAGGGATATTTACTGAATCTAATACATGGGATAACCTTGAGATATGAGGCCTTTGTTATCTATTTGTGATAACCTGACAGTTGTTCACAACGGGCCAAGGCCTAGTACAGTCCATAACAAGTAAAAATTCAAAAAACAAATTTAAAAAGAAGTAAACAGTAACTGCTTTAGCTACCTTTTCGCTCCTCTCACTCGATGAATCAGATGTACTTGCTCTGCATAAAAATTGGTCATTCTGGCATGATGAAGTAGTTTTATTGTAGGTTTGGTCTGATGAGGCTTCTTCTGACGATTCTCTTAGCTTGACAGCTACGAAAATTTGATGTTAGGTTGGGATCAAACAGAAAGCGAAGGGAAAGCCAAAGGTGAGATACTTTATAATCGCGACGGGTAGGACTTAGTAAAGATGGGAAAGCAGCAGGTAAATTTATAATACACTCTCGACATCTCTTTTTTCAAACTCTCCAGATTTGTTGTCTTAAACTCTTTGTATTTCTTGTTTCAAACTCTATAATGGCTGGAGTAACATTAACTCGGGGAAAAATCATCAACTTTACATTTATATTGTTTCTTAGAAGAAATAGGCAGTATATCGACAATCGTATCAATCCTACAACAGCAAAGATAAGAATGGAGAGCCGGATGTTAACATTGACTCTTCAAACATTATTAGGCTGGCGGTTCCAGACCCTTGCGGATTTGGAAATTTTTGGGTTATTTAGTTAAATAATTTGTTTTCATTTGTTTTGGTACCTGTTTGGAACCTGTTTTGGAACCTGTTTGGACCTGTTTTCGAACCTGGACTACAATGAAATATTTGTGAAATGTGAATAATGAAGGGTTTCTACTATTTTACATATAAAAAAATTTAAAATGGAAAAAGTTAAATTTTTAGAATAACATAATTAAATAAATATACGAATTCAATTATACTTATTACATATAAATTAAAATAATACATTAATATTAAAGTTTCGATTAATTAAGTGAATAAATGGAATTATGATCCAATTAAAAGTGTTTTACATTTTAAATGTTATTAAAATAATTTTTTTTAATAAAATAGTATATTTGATTGAGTAATAATATATTTAGTTATTTACTTCAATTATCAAGTTCTAAGTATATCTATAATAAATTTGGAATTAATTAATTACACATGATAGATTGATAAACATTAATAAATTTAATTATTAGTTAAATATCATACTTAATAAATTATAATATTACATTATAGTTAAATGATTACTTAATTAATTATAATTTTATAACATTACTTAATTATACTTTGGCAGTCGCTAACGGCTAGATCTGGACTTATACATAATAAGGCGTGAGGGATATATACTGAATCTAATACATGGGATAACCTCGAGATCTGAGGCCCTTGTTATCTATTTGTGATAACCTGATAGTTGTTCACAACGGGCTGAGGCCGAGCACGATCCATAACAAGTAAAAATTCAAAAAATAGATTTAAAAAGACGTAAACAGTAACTGCTTCCGCTACCTTTTCACTCCTCTTACTCGATGAATCAGATGTACTTGCTCTACATAAAGACTGGTTATTCTGGAATGATGAAGTAGTTTTATTGTGGATTTGGTCCGACGGGGCCTCTTCTGACGATTTTCTTAGCTTGACAGCTACGAAAATTTGATGTCAGGTGGGGATGAAATGGAACTTTGACTATTTAGGCTTAAGAGCTCCCACAGGTTGTTTACTTCTTAAAAATAACATCTCTACTATAGATGGTGCTTCTATCATAGGATTCCATAGCTTGTACCCCTTGATGCCATCTTTAAACCCACAAACTTGCATTCTCATATTTACTATCAAGCTTGCTTCTCTTCTCCTTTGACACATGTACATACGCATCACAACCAAAAACCTAAATAAAGGACCGATTAGGCTTCTTACCAGACAGAGCTTCATATGGCATCTGTCTTTAACAGAAGATGTAGGAGACCGATTCTTCAAATAACAAGCCATTGTGTAGTTCAGCCTAAAATTCAGGCCCCAAATCTGTGGTATTCAGCATACATCTATCTTTCTAATAGTGATTGACACAACCCGTCCCGAATTCCTCATCCCGTAGGATCCGGGCGCTCCCACAAGACTCAAGTACCGAGACGTGTCATGTAGAAAAACTGCGAAACTTGTTTAAAGACATACTTTTCCTGAATAACATCATAGGATTTCCATTTCCAACATCTCAAAAAAAAAAAGACATGCATCATCTTTCGTTTTACAAAAGAAAGAGTTAGGGAAAAATGTAGTATCAGGTTTTCCACTTATACTATACATTCCAAAACATGAAACAAAAGGAAATACATGAAGGAAAACATGAGTTCTTGAAACGAAAGTCCAAATTTTACAATGCGACGTAAATATAAAACCCACATAAAAGAGTCAACGCGTGGCACAACCCTGCGAGAGGTCACTACTCGGCACGATCTCGGAAGGTCCTGGTGGGGGGGAAAAACATTTAAAAAGGGGGGTAAACTGAAATACTCAGTGAGTGGGGAAAGGGGAGTTGGAAAACATTCGTCAAACAAAAGTTATGGCATGCAAAGGTTTTTATAAAAATACAGAAAACAACATGATTCCATGAACATCTTTCTCGTGGCAGCTAATCATCCTGTAGGCATGCATAACTTATTCTAATTGTTCTAAGTATTATAATCTGACAATTAAACTGACAACAATTTCTGAATCCTAGCTCATTACTAAATGCTGAAAATTTTTATTGAGAACTTAAAGAATTGCTGTAATGCTTATGCTTTAAAGACAATGTTTTTTAAAATCATGCTACACATCAACTGTTTCATATAACTAATGCAAACTATCCATCGATACTGAAAACGAAACTATTACTGATATGAAACTGTAGGCTGGTATCTGAAAACTTTAAACTGAATCCTGTTTCGAAACAGTAAACCGTATAAAGGTTCCACACAACTAGTACCCTGGGGAAAAATCTCGATACCTGGTGGGCATCCCACACACAGGCAGAGCTGGGAAATACATCTCAAACCCGGCAAGATCTATCATCGCGCGGGCAGAGCCTGAAGAAAACCATCCAATACCTGGCGGACAAACTCAACGCCCAGGCAGAGCACTAAATATCTCAATAAGCATGCGCAGAGCCTGAAGACCAAATATTCAATACCCAGCGGAATTCTGCATCGCGTGGGCAGAGCCTGAAAACTGGGGGATGGGTACTTGTAGGTGGTTTAACACCATAACAATCTCATGCATAATCTCAAGTAAAATGTAAGTCCAGAGCATATTTCGTAAGTGCTTATAAATCATACATATATGACTAATATTCAAAAATCACATCCAGGGGTGAAACTGAAATTTCCAAACTGTTTAAAAATGACAGTTTAACCCAGATTAAAAATTACTTTCAATATC